TCTTCAGTCTAGTTGTGGAGGACATCGCTTCACTGGCCCATGTTGGTATTATCATTGCGCTTTTTCCAGGTGAGGCAGTTGCTTGCTGGCCATTGGATGGCCGCTCATGGCAGCTCTCGCCTGCTGCCGGCAGCTCACGGTAGCTCACGGCAGCCCACTGCAACCCCGTCACAGCCTATGCTGTCACCGGCCACTCACGGCAGCCCAGCTCCAGGTTGAGCTGTTGTTCATAATCTTAGCTGTAGAGGGCGCAGTGTCACTGGCCCATGTGGGAACCGAACCAGTGGCCCTGCTGCTCAGAGCTCGCACTTCCAAGCCAACTCTTAACCAACTGAACCACTCGGCTGGCCCCAAAATGGTTAAAATGGCAAATTGTATGTTAGATATATTTTACTATGATAGAAAAACAAATTAAAAAAAGAAAGAAAGAAAAAAAGACTAAGTAGTACTTCATCAGAATAAAAACACAGGGAGTTGGGGGCCAGAAGGAACAGCATCGTTACATTCCCAGGGGAAGGGAGGGTATGAAATATTTTTTTTAAAATGATCTAAGGAGGGCCAAAGGAGGCTTCTAGGGTGCTGTCCAGGCTCAGTTTTTTATCTGGGTGCTGCTTACCTAGATGTGTTTATTTTGTGGAAATTTACTGAGCTGTATATTTATAATTTGTGCATTTTTCTCTATGTAGGTGTTAAAGAGAAAACCATAGGCCCAAAATGCTGCTACTCAAGCTAAAAGCCCATGATACCAAACCTACACTTAATACCTGATATAATTACAATTTTAACCTCTCCCAGAAACCGAATCTTAATTAACCATTTTGGAATTTTCTGGTCAAGCACGAGTAAGTTACTCTGTAACACAGGCCCTTTCTATCCCTCACAGGAAGAAGAGGCAATGCTCATGGTAAAAACCCTTCCCCTTTTTTCCCCTCAAAGAAAAGATGTCTGGCCCCAAAATAATGTTCCTTTTCTTTCACTGATATCTCTCTTGCCCCACCCTACTTCCTATAAAAAACTTCCATTTTGTGCAACCCCTCGGCCACCCCTTCTGGTTGCTAGATGGGCTGTTCCCCAATTCATAAATCACTTAATAAAGCCAATAGATCTTCAAAATTACTTGGCTGAATTTTTTTTAACATGTTATTCTTTAATTGAAATATTTACTTGTTTAAAAACAAGTTCAGGGCCGGCCGAGTGGAGCGATGGTTAAGAACTGGCTTGGGATGCCAGAGGGCCCTGGTTCGGATCCCACATATGAGGGCCAGTGACACTGCCCTCCACAGCTAAGATGCTGAACAACAGCTCAACCTGGAGCTGGGTTGCCATGAGTCGCCGGCGACGGCGTAGGCTGCAGCCCCTGTGGCAGTGGGTTGCCATGGGCTACCATGTGTAGCCAGCAGCCAGCGTGAGCGGCCAGCAGCCACTGTGAGCGGCTGTCCAGAAGCCGGCGACTGATCTGCCTCGCCCAGGAAGAGCACAATGACGGTGCCAACTTGGGCCAGTGAAGCAACGTCCTCCATAACTAGACTGAAGAACAAAAGGACAGCAACTTGTCTGTTCCCCTTCCCCCAATTCCCCAGCACTGTTCCCTTCCCCCCAATAAAAAAAAATCTTTAAAAAAAACAAAAAACAAAAAACAAAAAACAAGTTCAGTCTGCTTCCAGTGGGGAGAATTGACTGTAAGGACCCTCAGAGTTTGGGCTAGTGCCCAAAACTTATGCACTTGGTAGATATGGTAGATATCTGACACTTGGCTGGAGCCTGTTCTTAGTTTTTTCATTACATGTATCAATTCATTTGATCTTTATAACAACCCTCTGAAGCACAGAGAAGTGAAGTGATTGCTCAGGATCACACAGCCAGGAAGTGGCAGGTTTGAAATTGAAACCCAGGGAGTCAATCTAGAGTCCACGCCTTTAACCATTACAGCAAACAGAATGAATGAATGAATGAATGAATGAATGAATGAATGATATGTTCGTCCCTATCTCTCTAAACCAGCAGTTCTCAACATGGGGGATGCTGTAGATTTTGCTCTCTCCACCCCCCACCCTCACCCCCGCCAGGAGACTTTGGGCAATGTCTGGAGACATTTTTGGTTGTCACAATTTGGAGAAGGTGCACTGCTGGCCAGGGATGCTGCTAAACATCCGACAATGCACAGGACAGCACCCCACCCTTCCACACACAACAAAGAATTACCTGGCCCCAAATGTCAGCAGTGCTGAGGTTGAGAAACCCTGCTCTAAACCTAACCTATTTCCTTCACACGCTCCCCACTCTTGCTGCTTTATAATCTTAATCTTTCACCTAATCTATGTTAGACTGTAAATCTGAACTGGCTCCTCTGTGCTCCTATCTCTGGTGATCACGGTTATCTTCCCCATTCTTGCGATATCGCTTATCTGGCATGAGCCTCACTAACCTCTGATTAACACTGTATGGTAGTAAGAGTCCCAGACTGTGACTTTTCTTGTGAAAATTCTGCCAGAGATGTTGATGGGGAGGTCCCCGTGCCTACATGCCTATAGGATCCTGACTCCCTCTTTGTCTCTGTGCTGTCCTGCCACTCTGGAGCTGTTTCAATGCCTACCTCTCTGGCGCTTCCCATTGGTGCACTTCCTACACCGTGCTGCCATCCCATGAGTGGGTACCAGGAGCAGAGGCAGTGCCCAGGGTCACAGAATTCCCACCTCTGTTTCCTCATCAGGATTCTTAATTTGTATTATAGCCCAGCAGCCAAAGGTGTCCCCTTAACCCAGGGGGTAGATAATATTTATGGGGCAGAAACTTAGTGGTAATAAGCCTGTGTTGAATTTAACTCTCAGATAGACCTTATGAAATAGGTGCTGTGTTTTACCTTTTACAGTTGAGGAAGCCCAGGCACTGAGAAGCTAAGTAATTTGCTCAGGTCACACAGCTTGCAAGTGGTGGAGTTGGCATTCAAATCCAGGTAGCTTGATGGCAGAGTCCACCATGTGCACCCAGTTCCCACTCCAGGCCTCTCATTTCAGCCTTCTTCTTGTGGCTGGCCTAGGTTAGCCACTTTGCAGCCTCTTCGGAGGCTCACTTGACCATCACCATGGCAACCACCCATTGGCCCTCCACTTCCAGCCACCATCTCTTGTCCCACACTCTGGGCTCTCAGCCCCCACTGTTGCCGAGGGAGACTAAGGAATCTGTCCCTGGACCTTTGTTTGTCTCAACATGCCTGGCATCAGGTCACCACATTTATTCCATTTCAACTGTGAAAGCCTAACCGGCCAAAGGCCACCATTTATTCTGGGTGAATTAAGGGCGTAGTTAAGGACACACTCTGCCTCTCTTACCAGACAATGAATTCCCAAGGGGAAGGAGAACCGTATTTCTCTCAACACTCAGCTGCACCTGGCACATAAGGGACATCCACTAAATGTGTTATTGAATAAATGGCTGAAGGAACTCCTAATGCTCCCCACTGAGGAAGACTGTGAAAGCACAGTGGTCGTGAGAATTGGCTGTGGACTTGTACAGACCTGGGCTTGAAGCTCATGGTCACTTCCGAGGTGTGATCCTGGGCCAATAACTTTACCAGAGTTGTTGGCAAACGTTTTCTGTAACTGGTCAGGCAGTAAATATTTTCACTTTGTGGGCCATATGGTCTCTCATATAACTATTCAATTCTGCCTTATTCACAAAAACAGCCAAAGATAACACCTAAACGAATGGGTGGGGTCCTGCTCCCAAAGGCCTTTAATTACAAAAATAGGAGATATTTGCTGACCCATGACTTACTATAAAAAAAGATTATAAAAGATCAAGTGAGACAACTCATGAATGTAGTTCTAGATCCTGCCCTCGGGCAGGATTGAACTTATTCCCTCAAATCAATTCCATTCAATTCAATTTACTGTGCTCTACCACATGACATTGTATATATAGTATTCCATTTTTCTCTCCAGTTCCCTAAAATACCAAACATTTGAGAAGCAGCATTGCATAGGGATTAAGAGCACGGGGTTCTGGAACTAGGCTGTCTGGGTCCGAGTTCTGGCTCTGCCACTTCAGAGGTATGTGACCTTAAGAAAATTAATCTCCCTGGTACAACCTCCCTTAGTTGCCCTATCTGTGAAGCCAGGAAGACAATAACAGTGCCTGACAATAACAATGCCTATCTCTTGTAGGGTTCTTACAAGGATTATATGGGTTTGCACACCCCAAAAACCAGGGCATTCTTTTTTTTTTTTTTTTTTAAAGATTTTTATTGGGGAATTGGGGGGATGGGAACAGTGCTGGGGAATTGGGGGAAGGGGAACAGACAAGTTGCTGTCGTTTTGTTCTTCAGTCTAGTTGTGGAGGACGTCGCTTCACTGGCCCAAGTTGGCACCATCATTGCGTTCTTCCCGGGCGAGGCAGATCAGTTGCCAGCTTCTGGACGGCTGCTCACTGCAGCTGCTGGCTATACACAGCAGTCCATGGCAACCCACTACAGCAGGGGCTGCAGCCTACCCCGTCGCCGGCGACTCATGGCAGCCCAGCTCCAGTTTGAGCTGTTGTTCAGCATCTTAGCTGTAGAGGGCAGTGTCACTGGCCCTCATATGTGGGATCCGAACTGGGGTCCTCTGGCATCCCAAGCCAGTTCTTAACCATCGCGCCACTCGGCGGGCCCCAGGGCATTCTTTAAAGATTCCAAAACCCAGGCCACACTCAGACCACTAACTCACAACGCTGTCTGGGTGATGGGGTTGGCGGGAGTGTTAAAGTGCTCTGCGCGCTGGTTTTCATCCTGTGATGGACATTTCTGGAATCACAACGCCTCTGGTTCCCAAACACCCTTGGTCCCCCGACCCTAGTTTATTTGTCACCGGCCTCACCAAGCCCCTGCCGCTGCATGCTGGGACTTGTAGTCCCTTTAGCTCGTCAGCCTCGTCCCCGCCTCCTATTGGCTTTCGCCGACGCCCCGCCGCGAAGCTTCACCAATCATCGCGTCAGTCGGTCCTCAAAACAGAGACCGGAGGTCGCTGCGCCGCAATCACTGCAGGGCGGACGCTTGGAGGACGCTCGTCTGAGGCTGCGCGCGCGAGGGTTTCCCACGGTCTTCTCGCCTCCGCCGCCGTCGCGGTCACCCATCGCAGGTAACATCCGGGGTCAGGGCCGCGCGTCTGCCGGGGCTGTTGGCCTCACGGCCGGGATTTTCATTCCCCCCGGCCCTTTACGAGAAATCGATTTTCACCCTACGAATTTCGGGAAACGATGTAGGGACGCCCTGCGACCTCCCAGCCCGCCGTCCCGTGGGGTGGCGGTGGGCTCTGTTTCGTTGCGCGTGCTCTGGCTGGAAGCCCAGGCTCCTCCTCCAAGCGCTGGGACGATCAGGCGCGAGAGGAGAGAGCATTTGCTGAAGTCCCACGGGCAGGGTCTCTGGGGCTTGGTTCTGACCTTCACTATCTAGAAACAGTTCAGGCTGTTGGTGCCTTTAAATCGGAGGATTACACCCATTTCTAGTCAGCTCTCCGTAGCCTTAAGGGGAAGGGCTGTTAAGGACAACAACAACAACAACAATTCTTTAACTTACAGAAACATTCGTTCTGAGAAGTCAGGGGAGCTTTAGTTCTCAGAGATTTGAGCTGGGGGGAGTTACAGGATGATTCACATTAACCATGAAAGTAAAAGTCAGCTGGATTTGGTTCCCTGCCCCTAACCATTAGAGTTGAGGTTATACCCATATGGGTTATTTCCATGCTAAGAATTGTAGCATCTGGAGGCCGGAAGACAGCACTTGGTGTCAGGTGCTTCGTTTTATAGATGAAAAGAAACGCCCAGCGTTTGAGACTTGCCCTGTAGTTATGTAGTGAGTGGAGTAGCCCAACTTTCATGACGGTAGGGCTGCATCATTTAGCAAACGTTTATTGAGCCTTCCTAAGCTTTTTGAGCTGGAATGATTTCGTAAAGGAGAGAGGCAGTCTACAGTGAAGCATCCCAGTGTTACAAGGGCCAGGGTACACGTTTGCACAGGGGCAGCATCTAACCCTGTGGGAAGGGGTAGAACTTTTCCGAGAAGGGGATGCTGGAATGGAGTTTGAGAGATGGGCCGGAGCTAGTGAGATAAAGGAGAAGAACGTTTCACCTGGAAAACAGCATGGTGAAGGCTTGGAAAGAGAAATGATTTTGGATGTGGGGCCTGGAGTTTGGGTGGAGCAAGGGGTTTCCTGTGGGTGGTAGATTTCATGAGCCATGAGAGTAGAGAGGTCCGGGCCGCCTGTGCTGCTGTAGGAGATTTGGATTTTGTCCTGAAAGCTGAGTTCAGTAGATGTGTATCCTGGATACTCTGTAGTGTAGAAAAGCATTGGAGAGAGGCCACACCAGGGAGCTCCTTGCAGTAATTCCCCCAGAGAATTGCTGAGGGTTTTAAAGAAAGTTGGAGTGGGAAGGGAGAGGAGAGAACAGTTGTGAGCTATTAAGGAGGTGGAATACACCATACCCGTGTTGTTCAGTAAAAATATTGAGGTGAAGTCTGTCCCTCGAGCTTTCCAACTTATGACTATCTGAGGAAATGACCAGCATTTTTTTTTTAAACTGGAAATGACCAGCATTTTTTTTTTTTACTGTAATTGGAATTCTAATTTATGATGCAGAAATTGTCACATGTATCAAGGGTGTTGAAATCAGAATGATTAAACAAAAAAGACAAATTTTCTTGTAATTCAGGAGTGCATATTAAACCCATAATTAGATGACTTTATATCCATCAAATGAGAAATGATAAAGTTTGATGTTATCAAGAGATGATAAGTATTTGAGGAAAAGATTCACTGTTCTTGGAAATGTACCTTAGAACAGTATAGCTACTAGCAAACCAGGTATCTTAAGACCCAGTGGTTCCACTTCTAGAAAGAAGCTTAGAGAAACAGACATTTGTATACAGGATAGGCGTATTAGGATGTTTATTGCAACACTGTTTATAATGATAAGATTGAAATAGCCTAAATGTTTATTAGTAGGGGGCTGTTTATAAAGTGAATATATGTGTTTTTAAAGGTATAGTAAATTGATTATTATAACTAATCTTTATGGTGTGGGGACAGTGGGACAGAACAGGGGGAAAAATTTTGTCTGTAATGTTTTATTTGTTTTATGGGGAAAGAGACTTAACAGATTTATAAAATATTGACAGTTGATAGCCTGGGTGATAGGTAACAGATATTTTACTTTATACTCTGTACATTTCTGTAGTTGGGTGTCTACCCTCCAATTTCTTGAAACATAAATTGTAACAAAATTTAACTTAATTAGCCTCCAGTTTGTAGTCTTTTCCCAAAATGACTTGGGAAAAGTCCTGAAACTACATTGATACTCGGTTTCAAAAATAGTAATTTGGGTAAAAGAAATTCAAGAGCCAAATAAGCAGTGAAAATACAAATATGGAAAAACCATTAACTACTGGCCAACCTTTGCTTTGCTAGATTCCTAAATTCTTCTAACCATTAGTAGATTTTAAAAATGAATTTTTGACTGTGTCTGTTTTGAAATACGATTAGGCGGTTATACCTTTTGTAATGTTAACAGATAATGTTTTTTTTTTTAAAGATAGTTATCGCTCTATGCAGATATAAAAATGAACAAATGTTAAACATATTCATCTCATTAATGAGGAAACTTAGGTGTTACAACCAGCCCAAAGGAGAGTCCACAGTACAGATACATTTGTAGTTCAGAAGTAATTAAATGAATATGCAAACAGGAGGCAAAACTGGCTTCTTTCTGCAGTGGGTGAGGTCAGTGGAACCTCTACGTGATAGAATAAAGACTAGAACTATTTGCATTGCTGTTATCCTCAGTTTACAGAGTTGTAAAAAAATTCCCATAGAATTTTTAGATATTAGATAACCTTGAAGGACATACTCTAATCTAGACTCTAGTTTGCCACTAAATCAGAAATTTCCTCTATAGGAAAAAAAATTGATTAACCAGAACAAAATACATTTTTCATTTGAGAGTCGAGATAAGATCTAGTTGGATTTTAATCCCACTCTTTAAATAGGAAATCAGAGGATTTGAGAACTGAATGGACCCTTGATAATTTAGTTCTACCATCTAATTTCACAGATGGACAGTTAAGACCCAGAAAGGCCCTTCAGGTCTCCCCTGAGGTAGAAATGTGTCGTGTGTTAAGGAGAAATTAACGCTGGACATTTGTTAAAAACAGCAGGATAGGTTTTCCTATATTCCAGCTATTTCATTAGGGGAGAGAGACTCTAGAATAGAACTGAGCTCAACTCCCAAGTACTGCAAGGACAGCTGGGATTTATGGGCAGCGTGAGGGGATCAGTGGCTGGAAAATTACTAAGAGGAACTTGATTAGATATCGAAGGTGGGGGATTCTCACAGGATTTTTGCTAAAACTGAGCTCAGCAGGCCAGGGCTTAGTCAGAAAGAGGGCTCCGAGGAGCTTGCCTCAAGTTGGGTCAAGGAGGGGAATCCTTGTCACCCGTCCCGGTTTCTCTTGCGTGTTGTCAGCCAGGGACCCCTTGCGTGATGATTTTATTGTAAACCTCTGGAGAGCAGAGAGTGGGATCAAAGACATTCAGGTTTGGAAGGCTCTTTCCAGATGTCATTGTCTAGCTTGGCTTTGAAGGTTCACTGTTTGTGACCCAGAGCCAGTAGCAAATCAGAGCTGGCAGTGAGAGGTCACACCCGACTGTGGTTAAGGTGTGGGCTTTGGTGTCAGACGTGGGTTTGAACTTGACTCTGCTACATAGGTGGTTATGTGACTGTGACCTTCTTTCTTTCTTTTCTTTTTTGAAAATTAGTTTCAGGTGTACAAAACAATGTAATAGACATTTACACCCCTCACAAAGTGATAACCCCCCTCCCCCCAACCTACTACCCCTCTGACATCGTATATAGCTGTTACAATTCCACTGACTATTCTCTATGCTGTGCTCCACATCCTGTGACTATATAGATATTAAATTACAGTTGACATTCATTATTATTCAGCTTCAGGTGTACACTGCAGTGGTCAGGCATCGACACCGTCCATGAAGTGGTGTGACCTTATTTCCTATATTGTTGGTGACAGTACTCTGCCCCAGACCTCCCAAATGAATCGAACCCCACTTGATGGTACACTTCTTGAAGTCAAGCAGAATCGTTCCATTGAATCACAGATCTAGTGTAGCCTGGTAACCTGAGAGGGTCCCAGGACCAAGAGGCAACAGGAGAGGATTCATCTTTGGAGGCTGGAGAAATTGTTTCCTAGGGGCTTGTCCGTTGACCTGACTTTGTGTGGCTCAGGTTCTCTTGGATGGGCCCTTCTAAGAGAAGAGCTCTTTATACAGATGGTCCACAGAGCCTTGGAACAGCAGGGTGGTGAGAAGCACCGGGGTGTCCTACTGGAGGAAGCCGCTCTGTGCTTGGGCCCCAGGTGTGGTTACAGGGCCTCCCCGACGCTCACATAAACAACGCTTTTATGACACGCGAAGTGGTGTAGTGGAAAAAGTAGTCTTTGGAGTCAGATGTGTGTCACGTATCAGCAGTGCCACTTTGCAGTCAGTTTCTCTAGCTCAGAGCCAAAGTTTTCTCAAGTGTCTGAAGGGAGTAGTGAGACTGGCTTAAGGCTGTTGTGAGGATTGAGTGCCTCGCACGTTGCGTGGCTCACAGCATACAGCCACAAACATCCCACCCTGTGCAACGTGCTGTCACATGTGACTCTTGGGGGGGACTTTCTTCTCTCCCCTGGTTAGAGCATCAACTATCTGGGTCATTCTGTCCCCTGCAAACAGCAGAATAAAAACACATCCCCTAACAGAACACCTCAGAGAC